CGAGTTCTGAGGGTATTTTTTGTTTGTTTGTTTGTTTCAAACTGAAACAAAGAGCATTTTCTTTTTGAACCAACACAATTTTCTTTTTGCACTGGACTGGCAAAGCTCAGCCAAGAAAGGAGTGACATGGAAGCCATCGTTTTTCCTTCCTTTGGCGCTGAGGAAAAATGAAATAAAATAAAATAAAATAAAATAAAACAAAATAAATCTCCTCAGGCAATTTTAGCTCAGTCCTTAGGATGGAGAGGGGAGAGTCAGCTGCTGGGATTCCCAGATGTTGCAGCGGAGGAAGAAAGAAGGGGACCATTCCTTACGCTGTCACCCGATCTCCAAACTTTGTCACCTCTCCTGGTGATGCGCTCAGAGCCGGGGCTTCCCAGCAGCCCCCCAGCAGCCCCCCAGCAGCCCCCCAGCAGTGTACCTTCCCGTTGGCATCCTTGGGCTGCAGACCAAAGGCACGGATGATGTAGACCCTGACCAGACATTCCTGGGGACCCCTGGCTGGCAGTTGGTGGAACTGTCGAGGTGGCAGCGGCACGCGGGGGTCGTCGGGCAGAGGGTAGATTTTGAAGGAACCCTGAGGAGGACAGATGTGCTCGGTCACACTGAGGATGGGGCTCACAGCTCACAGAGATGGCTGGGACAGCACCTGCCTGCCTTGATGGCCGCGCTCTGCAATGCACCCAGGGTCCCGCTGACCTTCTTGGCACCCTGCTGGCTCATCATCAACTACTGGTCAACCAGGTGACTATTTGTGTCCCCTTTTTGGCCATCGGGGCACCCTGCTGGCTTATGGTCAAGTATTGATCAACCGATGGTCAACCACTGGTCAACCATTAGGCTGTGTCAGCTTCTTGGCCACCAGGACACCCCGCTGGCTCACGGTCACCCTGTGGTCAACTGTTGGCCAACTGTTGGTCAACCAGTGGCCAACCAGGACAACATCTGCATCACCTTCTCGGCCATTAGGGCACTCTGATGGTTCATCCTATGGTTGACCACTGGTCAACAACTGGCCGCCAGGACTGCCAGGTCCTCCTCCACAGGCCTCCTCTCCAGCAGTTCAGCCCCCAGGCTGCACAGTTGCTGCGGTTGTTCGTATCCAACAGGCGCAGGATGCTACACTTGCCCTTACTGAACCCCAACCAGGCTCCTCTCTGCCCACCTTGAACTCGCCCACGACCGAGGGATCGTCGTTGGCATCCTGCACCCGGCCACGGTACAGCCTGAAGGTGTGGCAGAAGTCAGAGAGCTGCTCGAAGGCCTCCACGCGTTCCAGCTCCGTCTCATAGACCTGAGGAAGGAGAAGCAAAGGGCAGCTGCACCCCAACAGATCCAGGACAAGAGTTGAACCAAGCCTGAAGGCAACACCACCCAAAGGGACAGAGACATCCCTGCCATCCCCAGCTGAAGATCAGAACTTTGGCAACCCTACAAAAACAAAAAGTGCAGCGCAGGAGCTCCAGGCCGTGCCCAGGTGGCCCAAAGGGTCTTCCATCATCCAGGCTGCTCCTTGCTGGGCGCGTTTCCCGTAGGACCAGGCAAGGTTTACCCTGCTTTGGTCCTACTTGGATTTTGTGTTATTGTTGGCACTCCTTGCAGTGGGTCACCTAAATCCATCCCCCCCACCACCGCCACCCCTCAGCAATCTCCACTTTTCCTTGTTCTCCCCAAAGGGCAGCATTCCCCCCTCTCCTCCACCACATAGTGAAACAGCAAGATCTCAAAGGCTGCAAAAGTGGAAATGCTACCGGAACACACCTTGCAAAGAAAGCCAGCTTTTCAAAACAGAATAAATGGTTGTTTTTAACAAAATCACCAGGGGAAAATCACCAAACGTTTGGGTTTTTGGTTGGTTTGGTTTTTTTTCACCTTGGAAGAAAGAAAGGCTCGACACTCAGAAACAAAACCAAGCAGAAGAACATCACAGCTGGGGTGCAGCGAGGCGGACCCAAGGCGGGCCACTTACCTGCAGGGTGTCAAAGCCCTTCTCCAGGTAGGAGCCACACTTCTCCCTCTCCCCTGTGGAAGCGTAGAATTTGCTCCACCAGTCAATGAATTCTTCCTCCTGGTGGCAGAGAACAGCGCAGTGACGCATCCCTGCGAGCGCAGCCCGGCGGCTCAGCTTACCCCCACCCATGGGGCTCAGAGTCACAGAACACAGAGGGATGGAGACCTCTGAGATCCCCGCCGTGCCGCAGAGGAGCGTTTGCCCCACCTGCTGTTCAAACAGCATTCCAGCTCTGGGGGATGCTGTTCCAAGAAGAAAACGGTTTTACGAGAGCAGCGCTTCTGAAAGCGGTGCAGGCGAAGATGAAGGGGCTCTGACTGCGATTCCTGAAACATTCCTGAGAAATAATGATGTCTTATTTTAGAAGTCCGCAGAATTCCATCGCACTGACCTCATGGAGGAACCGTAACGGAGCTTTATTGGGTTTGTATTTTAAGCCAGCGGTGCAGACTCTAAACTGCTGTCTTGAATAGACATTGTTTCTAATAGAAATATGACATAAATGAGCTGCGAGGCCTCCGTGCCTCCCCCCCTTTTTTATTTTCGTTATTTTTATTTTTAAAAATGCTGCCTTTCATCGCTTCCCCTGTTTTATTGTTCAGAAAGCCACGCTCCGACCACCGCGGCTTTACTGCGACATTCCACAGGTGCTGAGTTACAAAGAAAGCACTCGGGCTAATCCAGGGTATCTTCTGCACCCTGAGACACAGCCAGCTTAGATAATTCTGCTGATTTCTACTGAAAAAGAGCAGCAGGAATGTTAACAGTGAAGGATGTTCATCCATCCAAATGGAAAAGAGGGGCTGATGGCTGCGCCCTGAGAGCGAATGGCTGGGGATTTGGTTCAGCCATTGGGTGACAGCCAACAGCGTCCCTGGGGTTTTCTCTTGGACGTGGGATGGGATGGAAGAGGGGCAGGGCTGTTTCAGCCAGAAGAAGCTGAGTGGGATCCCATCAGTGACCCAGCATCTCCCCAGGCACCCAGGGTATCGGGAGAACCCTCAGCAGCAGGGTATCCCTGTACTGACAATCCATGAGCCATCTCCAAAACAAAGACATTTGGATTCACAACAAAATCCTTTACACTCAGAACCTCACCAACACACTGCAGACCCCTTTGAAAATACAGCATCCTGGATCCAGGTAACCCAGAGGAGGTTGAGTTGTGATGGATCTCAGTGAAGGGCTTTACCCAGGGGACACAGACATGGCTGAGCATGTAGCTATTGGGGGCACTAAGCTCCTTTCCTCCTCCAGCCCCCTAAATAAAGACCTGACGTCCAACACAACACAACACAACTCAACCCAACACAACACAACTCAATCCAACACAACCCAACTCAACCCAACTCAACCCAACCCAACACAACCCAACACAACACAACTCAACACAACACAACTCAACACAACCCAACCCAACACAACACAACTCAACACAACTCAACTCAACACAACCCAACTCAACCCAACCCAACACAACTCAACCCAACACAACTCAACCCAACACTATGCAACTCAACCCAACACAACTCAACCCGATGTGTTCCACAAAATGCACTGACAGGTCATTTCAGCCTGGAGCAAAAAGAGCTGTGGGAAGCTGAGGATTTGCCTTGGAATGGGTGTGTTGGGTTCTGGTGAACCTCAGCCACGCCACAGGTGGGGAAACTGAGGCACAGACAGGTTACTGGCCGGACAGCAAAGCCAGGAGCAGAACAGGTATGGCAGAACTGAAGTCTTAACCATTATTTTTACTCTTCTAATAATTTCACATGTATCTGGGGGAATAATATATTATCACAGCACTAATAAATATTGCCTCTAGAGAAGCTGAGCCACTGCCCCAGACTCAAGACATCCCCACAGCTCCCATCTGGGCAGCAGATTTCCTGCTGGGAGGAAGCTTTGCAGCTGGGACGAGCAGATCTCTGCCAAAACAGCTCGACCCTTTACGGGTTCACCTCCCCTGACGATGGTTATCGTGTTTCTGCAGATGGTACCCTGGGTCTCAGCCTTGGAAAACACCACATCCGCACTCCTCCTCTGCTCCAGTGTGAGTCCCAGCCAGGAGACCCCAGCCAAAGCACTGGGATGGATGGGTCACCCTACACCCAGGAAGCTGAGGAAGACTTTTTCATGCTCATCACCTCCCCACATCCCTCACCTCAAGCTCTTCCCAAGGAGGAATTTTCTCCTGGGTTATCCTCAGCTTATCCTGATCCTTCAGCCCTCTGCAGAGACCTGCCCTGAGCATGTCCCACGCACCGCCATGGGCTGTCCCCAAGCACATCCCACGCCCCAAGCACGTCAACAGCAGTGCCATGGGCTGTCCCCAAGCATGGACAGAGCAGCAGGAGAACAAAGCCAGCCAGAGGGGACAGCTGGGCTGCAGCACGGGCCATTGGCACCAGCTTCCACCAGGAGATATCCAACACCAAGAGCCCTTCCAGCTGATGGTAACAGGATAAGCCGTAAAACATGTGCTTTGATTTTGGAACTAGCCAACACAGCAAATAACCAATCATTCCAAACGGTTTGCAGATTCAGACTTTTTGTTTTTTTCTTTGATTGGGATGGCTTTGCTGACTTGCCATTCAAGGGTTTATTTGTGTTTCATACAACCGAAGCATCCCAAGCCACAGGGAGCTGTGGGGATTCAGCTCCTGTTTTGCCTCGCTCTGTAAAAGCAATTGAAAAAAGAGGAGGATGGAAAACTGCCCCCAAACAGTTCCCTTTCCAGCACGGTTCTCAAAAGGCATCCATCCAAAGCAGGTCGAAAGCACAGAGCTTAGCAGACACCTCCCTCTGTTCTGTGCTTTGTGGGACCCCAGCGACCAGCCCCAGTGGGACATCCACGCCACATCTGCTTGAGTGCTGGTCATTGCAGAAAGAAATGCCTCTTTTTGCTGATCTTTACATACATATACACGTATAGTTCATTAAAGCAATTAATCAAGCAAGTTAGAAATGAAGCAATACCTACTTGAGGCTCGGACCGAGAAGCTGGAGGGTTAATTAGTGCTGAGCTGGTCATGCCCTCCACAAGCTACAAATTAAAATGATTGGTTAGCAATGGGGTTAGAGAAACAAAGGTTAACAGATAAAAGCACATTGGAGGAGAAGCGCTGTCTGTCCCAACACGGGGCAGCAGCTCCTCCTATGAGCCAAGGGCCATGGAGTCCATAACACGAGGGGCTGGGGTCCAACTGGGCACGTGGTGGAGTTTGGGTCAAGCAGAGAACACAGCTCACAGCCGTGCCGTGAGGGATGAGGTGATAGTTGGATGACCTGAGAGGTCTTCTCCAACCTTTAGGTGGTCTTAGAAGTCATTTCCAACCTTAATGTTTCTACAGTCCTATGAAGGAACGTGGAGGGGATGGGCTGGGGTTGGACTGGGTGGTCTTAGAAGCCACTTCCAACCTTAATGTTTCTACAATGCTATGAAGGAACATGGAGGGGATGGGTTGGGGTTGGACTGGATGGTCTTAGAAGCCATTTCCAACCTTACTGTTTCTACCATTCTATGAAGGAACACGGAGGGGATGGGCTGGGTTTGGACTGGGTGATCTTAGAAGCCACTTCCAACCTTAATGTTTCTACAATCTTATGAAGGAACATGGTGGAAAAGGGTTGGTGTTGGACTGGATGGTCTTAGAAGCCATTTCCAACCTTAATGTTTGTACAGTTCTATGAGCAGGCATGGTGGGGATGGGTTGGGATTGGACTGGGTGGTCTTAGAAGCCATTTCCAACCTTACTGTTTATACAGTTCCATGAGGGAACATGGAGGGGATGGACTGGGTGGTCTTAGAAGCCATTTCCAACCTTAATGTTTCTACAATTCTATGAAGGAACACGGAGGGGATGGGTTGGGGTTGGACGGGATGGTCTTAGAAGCCATTTCCAACCTTACTGTTTATACAATCTTATGAAGGAACATGGTGGAAAAGGGTTGGTGTTGGACTGGATGGTCTTAGAAGCCATTTCCAACCTTAATGTTTGTACAGTTCTATGAGCAGGCATGGTGGGGATGGGTTGGGTTTGGACTGGGTGATCTTAGAAGCCATTTCGAACCTTAATGTTTCTACAATTGTATGAAGGAACATGGAGGGAATGGACTGGGGTTGGACTGGGTGGTCTTAGAAGCCATTTCCAACCTTACTGTTAATACAGTTCCATGAGGGAACATGGAGGGGATGGACTGGGTGGTCCTAGAAGCCATTTCCAACCTTACTGTTTCTACCATTCTATGAAGGAACATGGAGGGGATGGGCTGGGGTTGGACTGGATGGTCTTAGTGGTCTTCTCCAACCATAGTGGTTCCTTGACTCTGTGAGCCCTGTGATGGTTTTATCAACTTCTGCAGGAGGACTTTGGGGTTGTCTTTCCTGCTCTGCTTCCCACAAGGATGAGGAGCAAGGAGAGAGCGTGGAGAACAAGGAGAGAGCGAGCAGGGCTGACCCACACCACGCACGTGGGGAGGCCACCCGCACGTCCACGCTCAGCCCTCGCACAGCCAAACCACGCGTGCATCCTACAGAGGAGCAAAGCAGGAAGGCTGAGCCCAGAAGATCCTGCTGCAGAAATGCTGCTTTTGTGTGAGCCCCAGGAGCTGCTTTTCTTCGCGTTTGCTAACTGCAGCCCTGCACACAGCCTGGCTTTAAGCAGACCTCAGGCTGAACCTCCCCCTCCTCTTGCACGCAATGCACCACGCAGCCTCAGAGCAGAGCAGTTCGGCATCTGTTTGTTTTCTCCCTCCTGACGGGGACAACACAGCAGTCCTTTGTTCCCACCATCCAGCAGAGGGATGGAGGCCAAGCTGGGCAGGCCAGGGAGCAGCTCCAGAGCCACACACCGTGCACACCTGGGAACTGTCCCCATCCTCGTGAAACTGAGGGCTCCTTCATCCCCCGACCCCTCCGCGGGTGTGGGACCACCAGCACGGCCATCACCCAACCTCTGACTGCGGGAGGAATGGGGTCAGGGCCAGGATTTGGGGTCGGGGAGGGAGATGGTGGGAATTCTGAGCTGGCTTTCCAGGAACAAACCGCTGCCTCCTCCCCTGCTCCCCAAACGAAGGGCAGAATTGAAAGAAACAAAAGGAGGAGAATCCATCTGGGATCCAACGGAGCCACTCAGCTCACGTTGGAAATGTTTGCTTTGGTAAAGAAAGCCCAAGCCTTGCTCTCTGAAAATGCTGAAAAGGAGCATTTTTGGCCACCTCCCTCCTCTCCAGGACTGGCCCAAGGCTCAGATGTTTTCAGCTCAAAGCAGCCCGAGGGCTCCAGGCATCTACTGGGGGCTGGAGAACCCCCTGCAGCCCCGTGCCACCCCACCCCAGGGATCCCACTGCAAGAACACCGTGCCAGAAATCCCCAATGTTGCTGCTGCAGAGCCAACCCTCGTGCGGGAGGATATCGCAGCAGGGCAAGCAGGGAACAAAAAGCTCCTCAGTGATCCAAAGAGGTTTGCAAAGGCAAAAATAAAAAGGCTCACAGGGACACAATCCGGTGCACGGCACCAAGGTGGCTGGGTGTGCATAGGAAGGAATGCATCCCCATATTCCTGGGTTTGCTGGGTCCGGGGGGACCTGCAAGGTGCCTGCACCACTGCAGCCCCTCTGCTCCTCACACGCCGCTCCATCCTCTGCAGCCACAGCCCCCCCTGCACGTCCCCCTGCACCCACACCACGCAAAGTGAGGACTTTCTTCGTACCTGGGTGGGAAGGAGAGGCTCTTTGTCATCAATGTCAATGAGGACATCATCCCTGGGCGTGAGGCTTACATCATCTGCAATGAGGGCAAGGATAAACACGAGCCCCAGCTGTTAGAGACCCCCACAGCCACCTCCCGACGGAGCTCCAGGAGCGAACTCAGCCATGCCCGAAGGCTGGGCACGTTGGCTGTGACACATCCCAGCGGAGCCCCCCCACAGCCCCTCCCCACGTACCTGCATGCTCCTGGGCACCGTCCGTCTCCCCACCGTAGGGGTCGCAGTAGAATTCCTCCAGAGAGCGGATGGTGCACTGCCCCACCACAGGCCTGCGGCCGAACGGCCGGTTGTCGATGATTTTGATGATGATGGGGGGGCTGTAGAGGCTCTCGCTGGGCAGACGCTGCGAGTGCAGGGCAAGGAAGATGTAACCAAATGGGGAGAATTATCTACGGTTCTATGAAGGTCCCTTCCAACCAAAAGCATTCTATGGATCTTTGAAGATGCCTCCCAGTTCAAACCATTCTATGCTTCTACGAAGATCTTTTCCAACCAAAACCATTCTATGGATCTTTGAAGATCCCTTCCGACTCAAACCATTCCAAGTATCTTTGAAGATGCCTCCCACTTCAAACAATTCCATCGTTCTATGAAGATCCCTTCCAACTCAAACCATTCTATGGTTCTATGAAGATCCCTTCCCACTCAAACAATTCCATCGTTCTATGAAGATCCCTTCCAACCCAAACCATTCTATGGTTCTATGAAGATCCCTTCCCACTCAAACCATTCCATCGTTCTATGAAGATCCCTTCCAACTCAAACCATTCTATGGTTCTATGAAGGTCTCTTGTAACCCAAACCTTTCTGTGGTTCTATGAAGATCCCTTCCAACTTAAACCATTCTATGGCTCTATGAATGTTCCTTCCAACCCAAACCATTCTATGGATCTTTGAAAATGCCTCCCAGTTCAAACCATTCTATGGTTCTATGAAGATCCCTTCCAACCCAAACCATTCTATGGTTCTATGAAGATCCCTTCC